CGTTAGCTCTTAATGTACCGGGCACGAAATCAAATAGTTAGAGTTAGGCTCTATGACGAGTCGTTTACTAGTTGAAGGCGCTCAAATGATAGGATCTCAGCCCTCTTTGCTTTTCTATGGTTGGTGTGAATTGATTTTCTAGTGGCTGGGCTAAGGTAGCTAGAGGCAGGCAGCTGAAGGCAGTATGATGTGCGGCTGGATGGTCAGGACACGTTGGCAGAAAGGGGTATTCGAGGAAGCACGGAAATTCCCCGAGGGAGCTTGATGATGAGAACTCTCGTGGTGGCGATCCTGACAAGGGACTACTAACCTAGACTAGTCCAAGGTTTAGAAAATCAGATCTTAACGTTAGAAGGCCCGTCAGATCGTGATCGGTTACACAAGCCGGAGACTTGTGTTAAGGCGGTGGGGACCAGCCCCTAACCCAGCCAACCGAACGCATCTCATTTATAAATGGCGCGTTCTACTGCTACTAGCCATTCGGTGGTTTACGAGTGTGCATACGTAGGCCAGATCCCCCGGCAGACAAAGTCTCGCACAGCTTATGAACGGGTGATAGAACAAGGGAGGTGGGAGATGGCCGTCACTATGGTCGGCGGGCCGTGTCCTTAGCTGCTCTCTAGAAATATTTAGGAATAGTCGAGACCGGGACTCGGGATGATTTTTGTCATGGTGCCAGTGACAGGCAGTTCCTGAGATTTCCGTCTCCAGTCTAACTTCAAAGGCGAGATCATCAATGTGAGTGCCGCAGACGTTAGTATTCGCAATGGCCAATGATGAAATGGCAATACAGGAGGGGACCCTGCATCCACTGCGATTCAAGTAGTGGAGCTCATCTGTCCCTGGTAGTGGTTAGTGAGTTTCACTGTCAGCAGCGAGCTCCCAGATGATGAGTTCTCCAGACCAAATCCAACGGAGGCAGATGGGCACGCTTGAAAACCCTTGGCCGATTGATATAATCTATGCACGTAGCTCATCTCTTTCTTTCTGAAGATATATGCTTTTCTCAAGTTAACAAATGTCCGCCTCATAACAGAAGTTCATGGGAATAATGGTCTTTTCTTCACGTAAGGTGCTGCGCCACTTGCTCAGGGGCAACACGTTAGCAGCTGAGGCTGTGCAAAGGGGACTCCGAACAGGCAGTCGTTCGGGCTTCACATCTAGCGAGAATAGCGGTCTTCAGGGGCCCGAGAACTTGATTTTAGGTTGGCTGATGAAATAGGCGAGCTAGAGATTAGTCAATTTTGGCTCGTGTTGATCTTGTTACGTAGCCCATCGTCGTGTTCTGTCCTCACCAGCCACCCCAGCGTTTCAATTTCTTTTCCTTCACAATTAAGAAAATCTCAACATTGAACTTTAAAGCTCGCCAAGATCAAAATCAATTCTTGGCCGTTTCCACGCTGCCAGATTCCCTCGCCAATTGACAGCGCGCGCGGCAATCCACAGCTCCCACCCACATCCCAGAAGTCAACCGTGCCTTGCATCTCCCACACATCCAGCAAAACGTCATCCCCCCTGTCCGCCTTGGGGATGTGTTTCAAAGACAAGGCCAACGCAGAGCCCGTGGAGGCGGCAATGCCTCCGGTGAGGATGCCCACGGGACGCAGGACAGCCGAGGCCACTGCCCGCCTTAAGGAGGCCCAGGCCCAGTCCGCCCAGAGCAGCGAGCTCGGCAGGAAGAAGAACTCGTGGGAAAAGGCCAGCCCAACCCACGCGTACGGCGGACCCACCTCTGGCTCAAACGGCGGAGGCAACGGTGATTCGGGAGGCCTTTACGGCGGCGTCAATGGCGGCGTCTATTCCGGCGTCTACGGGGGCCCCAATGGGGGAGTCAATGGAGGTGTCTATGGCGGTGTTTACGGGACGAGCCATGGCGGAGGTTACATGGGCAACGGAGGCCATTCCTACCATGGAGAGGGGAACCACGCCTGGGATTGAACTATCGTCCGCCTCGGTTGCCAGGGCATGATGAAGGCTTCATTCCGAATGATTTTACGACTTTTTACTATGGCAATTTGGTCTTCTTGGCGTTTGAGCGTATAGAATGGTGGTCACTTTAGGGCGGCTAGGTCAGGGATTTATTGTATTACACAACATCGCTTATTTTCCTATGCATCTTATTCTCTTTGAGCCTCTCACCATCGTGGTTGTTCAGTTTCGTGTTCTATGTTCTCTATATCTCTTTTGCTAACGTTATTCCTCCACAATTCTGAGGGCCTTGTGCTCAAAACCTCTCACGGTATCCAGTGTCTTGCATTTATGAAGTTGGATATGTTCTCAATGGAGTCTAATGATGAGATTCAAATCCGCATTGTTGGAAATTACAGTTCTTTTATCTTTTTATTAAGCGTTATATGTAGTAGTGTTAGATGATATACATCCCATTGATTTCCCACCAGGTGCTCCTCTTCCTGGGAAGAACGGATTGGGGATTCTAATAGTCTGATGGTTATAATTAGGATTCAATATCGCCGGCGTATCTATCATCTCTGCGATATTTAATATAAACATCAGCCCCTAGACAAACCTAGCTTTCACTTGCTGAATGGACTTCGGCGTACAATCTTTAATCTGATCCTGATGCTAACCGAAGTAAGAATTATTAATTGATGTGGTATTCCCCTTGATTGTAATGGCAAGGTGCATTCCACCTTGGATCCCGTGGAGCAAATACTTGGTGGCCGTTCATTCGTTTGTGCATCGACCGAGACTTGCAGACCCCCGGACGTGCCGTGGGTCACGGGTAGCTGCTATTATGCATACGCTGCCCCGGAGCTGAGCAGCATGGGGACGTGATGTGATGAGGGACATGCCGGGTCTGCTTGGGCCGGGCCGGGCGTCCGTATCCTCTCTGGCGAGTCACTCTGCACGATCATTCATCAAGATGTACATATTAGCATATCTACTATTCCATAGGACACAGACTGCGGTGAGTAGCGTCCCCTTTGGGTAGGTCTAGAGCGGGACATGGGATGAGGCGGCCTCGATTGGCATGTTTTAGATTCAATTGAGCAAGATCAGTTCATTGACGATTGGCATGTTAAAAGGCTGGTCCCTGCGTCAATTCGGTCGATGCTCGATGCCTGGACATCAATCACAACATACATAAACGAGCCAGGTCAAGACAAGGTAGGCTATGCGTATTGAGCAGACCGAGCGGTGTCTTCCGACAATGCTGGAGCCCCCAATTGAGAACTTGGCAGCTATCACATCGTGTCGCATCGCATCGCGGCTACTATGTAACTATGTAGTATTCTGCTTGATCGATGGCAGGCTGGCATGTGTCTTTACCCCAACTCAACTCCACACCCGATGCCTACCTACATGATGCTTGCCATTGCTATTTAGGATGCAGGTAGCAATAAGAAGATCAGCTCATCCGTCCTCTGCCACAGAACAACAAACGGGACGAAGAACAGTGAGGCTCCACCCGGCTGACCTGCAAAGTGAGCCCAGCGCAGGACGACAAACCGCTCATGCCCTCGGCCCCCACAAATAGCGGACGCCCCCGGCAGGGAACAGGGCGAGAGAGAGAGAGGGACATGTGCTCATGCGGGCTCAGAACTGCAGGATATTCGTTATGCAGGCAGCGAGCCAGACCGAGCTGAGCTGAGCCGGCGCAGCCCGAAGTCTGCGTGGCCCAATTGGCCACCGGGCGAGAGAATCAGAGCAGGCAGACAGAAGCACGAAGAAGAAGCGGATGGCCAGCCCGAGTCAAGTCACAGGATTGGGGGGTTGCAGCGGAATCTGACAATTCGGCAGCCTCCGCAAGGGCCTGTCAGATGGGATGGGCGTCTGCTGGGCTTTTGATTTTTTTTCTTCTGCTCTCCCCTGAAATTCCCGATAACGTGTGCGGCTCGCGGAGGTTCCCTGCCACCACCCCATTCTCCTCGCTGCCCCTGCCACAATGAACCCACAATCTTGGAGCTGTTCCGGTGTTTTGGCCTCTTCCCCCTCAGGAGCCCAGGAGGGGAGAGGTGCAGGCCCGTAAGCACGCATTGGCTGGGCCAACAACTCGCCGTCGGGCATGGAGGAGACACCAGACAGCTTGGGACACGGGGTGAGACACTCCTCCAACTAGTCCGATGGGGCCTGCAAAGCATCGAGCCATTGGCATGGGAGGAGGGCCTGGAGATGGGCCGCCTCACGTGCCTAACTCGGTCTGTCTGGCAGCAGATGACGCAGGGCCTGTGTCAGAAGAGGCCAATCGTCTGCCGGTAAACTGAAGACGTCTATGCTGGGCTTTTAGGCCGCTCTGGATTGGCAGACACGCTTATCCCATCTGTCCATCTGTCCATCTTGGCCGTCGGAGATTCACCAGATGGCACAGCAACGATTGACGAAATCTAGGCTCTGGCAGGACATCCATCAGGAGGCAAAGTGAGCTGATTGTCCGCTTGCCCTCGGGCTGTTGGAAGGAGCTCAGAGATAATATCCCGGGGCCTTCAGCCTTGCAAAAAGCTCTTACGTCGAACCACAATTGCATCATGCAAGTTTGTTCGTTTTCCCTGCACTGGCTGCGCCCCGCCCATCAGGTGCTTCTCTTCTCGCTGTACAATGATAGCAATCCTCTTCGTGGTGAATAAATAAAAAAAAGCAGGGGCCATGTTGACCGAGCTCTTCTTTACTTTGGGTGCCCGCAGTTTGGAGCCGGATCCTGAACTTGCTTTTTCCCTCGTCTCAGTCCAAGCCAAGTTCCAAGACCAACCTCCCACTATTGATATTGATCAAAACTTCTGTCGGCTTCCATCCGGCAAGACTCTGCTGTAGCTCTCTCTTTTGTCCTTCCCAGCCATCGCCAGACCGGCTCTCAGCCAATTGAGCCCCATATACATACATAATCCAGTCCACTGAAACGGACAAGATCCCAACCACCTACCCACCAAGCCTTCCTTGGCTCTTATCTTCTTTCCCCGCACGCTAATAGTGGTGTTCTTCTTTTTTTTTTCATCTATTCTGCGCATTCTTCTGCTCGTGAATCCCACGGCTCGATAATCCTAATGCCCCAAGACCACCCCAACACCGCCAAGCTGGATCCCAACACGCCCTCGCCGCCTCGCACCGCGAGCCACAGCGGCTCCATCTTCGGCCGCGAGCGCCTGCGCCGATCCGTCCTCGAGTCCGACGTCCGCGAGAAGGAGAAGGAGCTCACCAAGCTCCAGGGATGGTGTGAGGGGCTCGAGCGCGCCCTCGCCAAGGAGCGCTCCGAGTCGCACCGCCTGGCCACCGACCTCCAGGACACGCAGACGTCGCTCTCGCAGGAGCGCGAGGACTGCCGCCGCCTCAACTCGGAGCTGCACGAGGCCCAGAAGCGCATCGACACCCTCGACGCCCTCCTCGAGGAGGACAACGACAACGCCGTCGCCCACGAGACCCGCAGCGTCTCCTCGGGCTCGACCCGCGACCAGCAGCTGCAGGACAAGGTCCAGCACACCGTCGTCACCAAGAACAAGGCCCTCGAGAAGAACGCCACCCTCAAGGACCAGCTCGAGCGCATGGACGACCGCGTGCTCTCCTGCCAGGCCGAGCGGGACCAGGCGCGCGGCGAGAGCAGCCAGCTGCGCGCCGACGTCGCCGCCATGAAGACGGAGAAGAAGGCCATGCAGCGCCAGATCGACAAGGCCGCCAAGGAGGCCCAGAAGGCCAAGGACGAGCAGCAGAAGATGGCGCAGGAGCTCGCGGCCAAGGACCAGCTCCTCCAGCAGCTGCGGGCGCGCGTCGTCGACGAGGAGAGCCGCAACATGGTGCTGAGCCGCCGGATAGCCAGCCTCGAGCTCATCACCAGCGAGACCCTCAAGGGGCAGGGCAACCGCTGGTTCCACGTCGGCGCCTGGGTGCAGCAGATGTGCAGCGCGTCCGCCGCGGCGAGGTATTTCGGCTGGATACGCCGGCCGTGGTGGAGGCTACACAAGCAGGAGTGAACGAGAAACGAGGCTTTTTTTTTTTAATCATTTGTCTTTCCTTGTTTGTTAAACGAACGCATGTCTCGCCGAAACAGCAGAAAGAGCGACAGAAAGTCGTTACGTATGGAGTTGGATGGCGTTTACTTGGGACAATCATCATCATCATTGTCATTGTATTTACCTCTTCATTCTTTGCCTGGAATAATCCAAACCACTCTCGACGAGTATTCACATCTACCATCACCACATCTTGCACCCCAACGTGCTCTTCCAGCTTCTCGTGTAGGCATCCATCCGTAAACCTCGCCCATCCCATCCCCTCAGCCTCAGGCCTGGAGCCCAATGCTTACGTCGCTCTTGCGTGAATATTCGAATGGATGGCTATTAGCGAAAGGGCCCCATCAGGTACTAATACAACCTAACGGATACCCGGCAGGTGCTGATGGGCGTGTGGTCCGCTGTAACGCACTGAAACGACGGCGTCATTTGGACGACCAATAGATGCACCGTTTGCCGGACTTTGTTCTTCAGGTAGAAGTTTTGCCGATGTCGAGGGCGACCTGCGGCCCAAAGGTTGCCTTAGGTAGCAGCTTCGTCTTAATGGTGGAAGCTCATATTGGCTCGTTCATGGTTCAATAGGTCCATGTGGATGAGTGTGGATGGATGCAGCGACGGAACCGAACAGGATGAAATGAAATTTCGATCTGTGAAATCATGAAAGATTGATTAACAAGACATCAATTCATACTGAACTATGATCTTTCCGCCAATCGAACGAATGGTGGTATGATGGACTCTCCCATCTCGACCTTGCGTGGTGATGAAGAAGCGTTACATACATCCACTTAAGCAGTCGAACGATGGTCGAACGTCCCCGTATTCCTCATTTAGGGACCGTCCTGCTGGTAACCGTGGGCCCCTGGTCTTCTGAAGGGAGTGGGCCATGATGCGTTCGCTCATAATCTGCCGTCAATCTCGCCTTTCATTGTGATGCGTTGTCTGTGAACAACCTTCTTTTGTGCACTTGCATCACGCGTAGGTATGCAAGGAAAGCTGGGGTGGGAGATGACGATCTTCCTTGCTATCTTACAAGCAAAGTGTCATGCTCTTCTGGATTCCTCAAACTATTTGAGAACCCCAAAAGAAACATAATTGGAAAAAAGAATAAACCGCATTTCTACACGGACGGCTGCCACAATAAGAAAGCGTCGAGAAATGTGCAAGAGTTATAGGGTAGGTGGATAGTGAGTGAGTATGTAAGAAGCCGGGGCCATTCCCATGGATTGGGGTGGGGATACGGGAACCAGGGAAAGATATAAAATAACCATCGTCCCATCGATGAAAAGTTCTTGTTGTCATGTGGAACCCAGCATTGACGAACCTTGCCCCGGGAGATCATAAAATGACCAGACCATCCTTCCCCAACCCCATGTCATCCCATAGATAGATTGCATATTTCGTTGCACATGGCCATGTATTGCCGAGGCCTTCACTTCCGACGGACTGACGGGGGACCTTAAAGCGGATCTGCAACGGGCATGCAAAAGTGTCCTGCATAAACAATTATCAACCAGGAAAAGAAACGAACATGAATTTCTTGCATTTCATCCAACGTAGCACGGGAATTCGCATTAATTAAATTTGATGGCCAGCACAATTCTGCAGGCATCGCCACGTCAGAGTTATGCAGGGGAGGATAGATTCTAAACTCATGTCCCCTTTTCTACCTTGTGTGAATCTGTAATGTTTCCCTGGATTTATTTCCCCAACACTAATCCAACTGGCGAAGCCTAAGCCTTCTGCAGTCTATAGTCAGTGAGAGCATCTAGTAGCGCCATGCCGTCGAATGAGTCTTTGTCGGAGCCCATGGTGGTGGTATGCGGTCCTTCAGGGGTTGGAAAATCCGCCTTGGTCCAGCGCTATTTGTTTGGGGTGTTTCCTCCAGAGGTCAGACGATCCCATTTGCACCGACTTCGTGATCCGGGCATAGGAGCTAACTTGATGGACAGTTTGACCCATTGCACGGGGCTGGCGACAGGAAACGCGTGGAGGTAGATGGAGAGCCATGCTTGCTGGAAATTCACCGGTCAAATCGTATGGAGAGTGTAGCGACGACGGAGATGTTTATCAGAAAGGCCGATATGTTCCTCCTGGTGTATCGCATAGGCTCTCGCGAGTCCTTTGACGAGATGAAGGAACGGCATCAACTCATCTTAGGACGCAGAGAGGACAAAGTGCCCATCATTCTCGTCGGTAATAAATGCGACCTGAGCTCAAACATGAGGGCCGTGTCTCCTGAAGAGGGCGCGGATCTGGCCCGGGAGTTAGGTTGCGGTTTTGTCGAGACTTCGGCCAAGGACAATGTGAACGTGGAACAGACGTTCACTGATTTGATAAGAGCGCACCGGACGATAGAGCAAGCGAAGAAGCTGGCTGCAACGGAGGAGCCTCCCGTCAAAGATACCCAGGAAAAAGAAGGGGGCAGTTTCAAAGATCGGATATTGGCCTTTTTCAAACGAATAACACGAAAGAAAAGCATTTGAAACTGGAATATTTCTCTGATAGTTGACGATAGTTGTTACCAGTTCACGCATGGTTTTCTGGTTTTTTTTCTCATCTTTATTATTTCTCAACGTGTAGATTATCTCAAAATTACAATACAGATTGAGGGTTAAAGCGTTGAAGAGGTCCAACCAACTTGTTGCCACTGAAAAGATATTATTCATCAACTGAAGGAACTGAGAAATTAGTCTATTTAACCTTACATTGACGATAACACTTTACATGGTTGATGAAAAGGGCCGATCGACCAATCGTGTAAGCTGATTAGGCTAGGATATGCAGGTTCCGAATCTATCTTACAGCCTAAGAGACTCTGCAGCACTTTCTATTACTACTCTTAGAGCTCCGGGTACTTTATTTCCCCTTGAGTGAGAGAAGATGGTGAAAGCTGGGCATATTTTCCACTAGAGAGTTCATCTTGACAGCACTTCGGAGGTGAATCTCAGTTCATAATTCATTTTTAGCTTGGCTGCTGCTGATCGACAGGGACCTCGATATGAAATATATAGATGGGGTTATGTATTGCTCCATGGGAGGAATTCATGTAAAAAGAGCCAGATGGCTGCTATCATTAACCCTCAAAAGCTCAAGCTGCCAGACCAAACAAGACTCGAAATAGTGGTGGAGCTTGGATGAGCCTAGCTTGACCTTCCCTCTCTGCGGAATCATGCGTTATGCGCCAAGAACCTCGCCGCGCGGGAATTCGAGACCGTTCCTGGAAATTGACGCAATTGTGGAAGGTCTGCTTGGCGTTTGTGATAGTCCCCAAGGACGTGACCGATTTCTCAGCATCGTGACCATCGGCACTGCCCTTTTGGACCCTTGATGATTAGATAGTAAGTGTCCATTAATGTAACCCAAAGTTGGCAGTCGGCAGCGTGCGTTCTTCTGGGCCTTGGCCCAGCTCCTTAACTGAGCCAGATATGTCAACAGAGGACAGGCCTGGAGATCCTAATACGAGTCACTCGCCTCGTATGTTCCATGCGGCACATCCCCATAAATGCGTATTCTAACCTAAAATTCTTGTAGCTTCACGTCGGTATGCCTGAATGCTCCCCAAAGTACATATGGCTCACTGTAAGCACCCTCATTTAGGAAGGTCTGGGTGCCAGCTGCGGTGAACGCAAAGGTCGCGCTTCCACAGCGTTGCATTCCGTACTCTAGCTCAGTGACCAAAACTTCTCGTAAGCGAAGGCAACGGGCAGTCGCCAATACGAGATCATGCAAGCTATTCACACGGGCAGTGATATCAAGTGCATTCCTACGGGACTTTGGACGTCAGACTAAGCACGAAGGAATAAGCGGGAAGAATGCCAGAAACCCCCGAGGTAGCTAATACTCAATACCCGGAGCGGAGAGAGCTTAATTCCCCAGACTCTACTGCTTATTCCAATAGCCGACGGATGTACCGAGCACTTGGTGGCCAAGCAGGGGCCTCTCGTCAACACCAGGCAATTCTGAGCCCCACCAAGAGCTCGTCTGTTGCCGTCTTCGCGGGTGATGATTAGCTGGGCAGAAGAAAGCCTAAGTGCAATACAGGATTTTGCCCAGTCGCGTAGCCATTGCTACCTACCTGAGAGAGATAACGACTCTCCGCCATTGTGTGATCCACCCCTCTGATGAGCAACTGGCGAAGACCTTCCCCAATGGGAAGCAATAGACATGCGGCCGACTGGGAGATAGGCCCACAGTCCGGCCTTGCCAGTTTTCTTGTATAAGACGATAAATAGCAGCTGTCTCCTCGATACTTTAGATCGATGTGCTTCGGTTCATCAAGTCCCTCCAAGGATAGTTCAAGAGTATACATCACAAGCACATTTTGAGAGTTATCAACATCAAAATGCGTCTCTCTGTCCTCCTCGCCATCCTTCCAGCCGTCTTGGCCGCTCCTGCCACGAGATCGGTCCCTGCTCCTCTTGTGAGGCTCAGCGAGAGGTCTGACGTCGTGGCTAACAAGTACATTGTTAAGTTCAAGGATAACAGTGCCCTTGCCTCACTGGACAGCGCTCTGAGCACCATTTCCGTGGCCCCCGAGTACACATTCGAGCATGTATTCAAGGGATTCTCTGGCGAGCTTAGCCAGGAAGCTCTAGATGCTCTTCGAAACCACCCAGATGTATGTAACTAGCGCTATTCTGCATCATACTGGTTATGTGCTAACGTCTGAGATCAGGTTGACTTCATCGAGGAGGATTCCTATGTCTACCTCGATGGTTTCCTCGAGCAATCCAACGCCGCCTGGGGCCTTGGAAGAATTTCCCACCTTGCCAAGGGCTCCACCACTTACGTTTATGACGAGACCGCAGGTGAGGGCACTTGTGCCTACATCATCGACACCGGCATTGATGTAACCCACGGGGTAGGTCTCGATATATGGTGAAAGGTCCAGCATGATTCGATCTAACAAGCATATTTGTAGGACTTTGAAGGCCGTGCTACTTTTGCAGTCAACTATGGAGATTCAAACAACATTGACGGTAAGAACATCCCTTTATATCGTATTGAACGCTTGGGGAATCCCAACTGACTAAACAATTTCCAAGGCCATGGACATGGAACTCACGTTGCTGGCACCATTGGGTCCAAGACCTACGGAATCGCCAAGAAGACTAGCCTCTTCGCCGTCAAGGTTCTGGACAACAATGGCAGCGGCACGGTCGCTAATATGATCCGCGGCCTTGAGTTTGTCGTCTCCGACGTGCCCACGCGTGGCTGCCCCAACGGCGCCGTCGCCAACATGTCACTTCGATCCTCTGTGTCGGCTGCTCTCAATGCCGCGGCGGCAGCCCTCCCATCAAACGACATCTTCCTCGCTGTCTCAGCAGGCAACAGCAACATCGACTCTTCCAACCAGTCTCCCGCCGCTGAGCCCACCGTGTGCACAATCGGAGCCACGGACTCTGCCGATGCCAAGTCCAGCTTCTCCAACTACGGACCGGGAGTTGACGTGTTTGCCCCGGGTACCAGTGTCCTATCACTGGCCCCAGGCAACTTGACGGTAAGCCTTTCGTGATAACAGTTCAAAGGAAGTTGCAGAAGCTAAAAATTTCATTAGGCTACCATGTCCGGAACGTCGATGGCTTCCCCCCACGCGGCAGGTCTCGCTGCCTACTTGGGCGGTCTTGAAGGACTCAAGGGAGACGCTCTCTGTGAGCGTATCAAGGAGCTTGCTTCGGTTGGCCTCCTTACCGGACTTCCTAGCGGTACTAGCAACAGACTTGCTTTCAATGGAAACCCGGGTGCTTGAATAGGAAACCTATAGCCGCAGATTCTGAATCAGAGCAATAAGAAATAAAATATCTTGGTGTAAATGTGTTTATGATAACGTCGTTGTTCAAAATAATGATACAAGTATGTATAGTAATAAGCACAGAGATGTATTTAATATTGAGACTGGTAGAAATGGTGTTCTCTGGTTTTCTTTTTTACCTAAGGAGTATGAAGACTGGACATTCGTGACTGGATTAGCGGTCGGATGTTTACTTGTGAAGGAACCTTGACATGATTTGTAGACTACAAGGTGTACTGTTGCAATACAGTTGAGTGAGGCTCACTGGAATTCATATTTCACACTTGGATCTAGAAAGGACTAAGTTGTGTTCTTGAGCAGTCAATCTCATGAGAAGAATTTTGTTTATATCATGACCGGGAATTAGTATACTTGCCAGCAAGGAGCTTATTTTGCTAGCTATGCTATATGCTTGCTCAACATCTTCGCCCTGCACATTCCTGCCAAAAGAGAAAGTACATGTATCTTAATACACAGCTGAGGGAGGCCCGATCGCGTCTATGAATATTTACCTATTAAAGCTGCATACCTTAGCTACTGTTGAATGTCTTCCTCTCCAGTTCAGCCATATTGTGAGGAACCAGTAGCCGTAGGCCAAGGATAGGTTGTCCAGGAAACTTGAACTAAGACATAATTTTTTGTGACGATCTCAGAATCTGCGTGGTGGAAGCTCTTACGTCAAAAACAGTTATGACGCATGAGACGTTTGCCCGGCTACGAAAAGCCACAATACCAGTTGAGTGGGTTATTTATGAAGCAGCGGGCATTTACAAAGACTACAAGGTGAAGAAGCTCATTCATTAAAAAGAACACATCGATAGTTTAATCTAATGCAGATTCTTAGATCTTTCTCTTTCGAGGAGGAAATAATAGGAAAGAAAACGATTACTAGTCGAAATCATAATCGGACCAAGCGCAATTGATAGCTTGGTTCGATTTGAAATCTTTGGCTCGTAAATGAAATCACAATGAATCATCCGAGACATTGGCGGGCAGCATGGCATCACGGATAGTCCTGGCAATCTACCGATAGGCCGTTGAAAACCGGTAGCATTCCTTCTACCGTTTATCATGTTTCACTCAACCATGTGGTATGCAGTATGGAACTTCGGCTTTACTCAAATATATTCGAAGGTTGCCAAATGAAGGCATATTGTGAGTCTGCTCTTCGGTCTTGATACTGGAGGAAAAAAATTCACCTTGATCGTTTAACTCTCTATCATATTGACTTTGGCAAATTAGGCTTGTTTGGTTTGGATGAGGGTTTACCATGAGGGCAGCCCTCACTAAGGCGTTGGGCTTCATAGCCTTCATAACGCTCTTGGCCTATGTGGCTCCTGTGACTGCTCTAGCTGTCCCAGACCTTCGAGACCGACAAGACATAGAATGTCGAATGACTTTGGGTATCTCAACGGTATGGAAGTAAGTGTAAAGAGGTATTTAGTACTATTAAGATGAACAAGACTGACATCAAACTAGGCGAAGTAACGGGCAAGACGAGAATATTACGGAGCCTACGGAGTTACAAGAGTGCAAATCACCATCAAAAGAAAAATTACGCCGCCATCCAGCCTGGGGGCGGTTTGTTGAATGGTTGGATCGGACGGCGGGTTCACGAAGGCGGAGGCAAGAACCACCAGGCCCTCCACTTGGATCAACAACACAAGAACTGCAAGACGATCCAGTACCTGTAGGCCCTCCAGGGCCACCCGGACCTCAAGGGCCGCAAGGACCTCAGGGAGCAACCGGCGACCAGGGTCCCGCAGGAACAGACGGCCAAGATGGAGAGCCTGGGCCTCCGGGGCCGAAAGGTGACACCGGTCCTCGAGGCCCGGCTGGTTCACAAGGCCAAGAAGGCCCAGCTGGAGCAACTGGCGCTCAAGGACCCAAGGGTGATACTGGGGATACAGGTGTCAAAGGAGACGACGGGGCACAGGGGTCTATAGGGCCAACTGGAGCTACGGGAGACACAGGACCCAAGGGAGATGGCGGCACCCAAGGCCCCGTAGGGCCATCGGGCGAAACTGGCGCCACTGGACCACAGGGAAGTATCGGCCCTCAAGGGCCTCAGGGAGATACGGGTCTCCAAGGGCCTCAAGGTTTACCTGGTGTGACGGGTGCTCAAGGCCCCAAGGGCGACACGGGAGCTCAAGGTAATGCCGGGCCAAAAGGCGACTATGGGCCCCAAGGGCCTCAAGGTCTGACAGGAGCCACTGGCCCGAAGGGTGATACAGGAGCCCAAGGCTCAGTCGGGCCAACTGGAGAAACCGGAGCCACCGGTCTCGAAGGCCCTTCAGGACCAAAAGGCGATACTGGGGATACTGGCCCCAAAGGCGATGTTGGGCCGCAGGGGCTTTCCGGTTTAACTGGAGACATTGGTCCTGTTGGCCCTCAGGGATTTGCTGGAGGAAGTGGTACTCAAGGGCCTCAGGGCCCAAAGGGAGAAACTGGGGATATAGGACCTAAAGGTGAAGTTGGGTCTCAAGGGCCACTAGGCTTGACAGGCGATACTGGACCTGTTGGTCCACAGGGGCCCAAAGGCGACACTGGAGCTACTGGTATTCAAGGCGATGCTGGCTCCCAAGGCCCTAAAGGAGCAGTAGGCCCCCAGGGACTAACCGGGCCCAAAGGCGATACAGGTTCTCAAGGTATACAGGGCTTACAGGGAGTGACTGGAGTGATTGGTCCGAAAGGTGATACTGGTTCCCAGGGACCAACAGGCCTAACTGGCCTTCAAGGGCCTCAAGGAGACACTGGCATTTCGGGGGAGATAGGGGCAACAGGCCCAAAGGGCAATACAGGTGATTCAGGGCCTCAAGGTTTTCCAGGCCCGATCGGAGCGAATGGCCCTCAAGGCGAAACCGGTGTCCAAGGACCGATGGGCCCAGCCGGCCCCGAAGGACCTAAGGGTGATACTGGTTCGCAAGGTGTACCCGGGGTAGCTGGTCTTCAGGGCGCTATTGGATCACAGGGACTTCAAGGGCAAACGGGAGCTCAAGGTTTAACAGGAGCGACTGGTGCCCAAGGCCCAACTGGTACAACCGGTCCTCAAGGGCCAGTTGGGCCTGAAGGAGCAGTCGGACCACAGGGGCCAGCAGGACCAATTGGACCTCAAGGTGTTCAAGGTCCAAAAGGGGATATCGGTACAACTGGTGGGGCTGGACTTCAAGGCCCGGCTGGGCCCGTTGGCGAGACTGGTCCGAAGGGTGACATTGGAAATACAGGTGCTCAAGGTATACAAGGCGTTCAAGGTGCAGTTGGCCCAGCCGGCCCAGCAGGCGACAGAGGACCAGCTGGTACTGATGGCGCTTCAGCTGGCTACACGGCAAACTACGACTACATTGGCTGCTATTCGTCCATCCTCGGCAAGTATGGTTTCGATACCTACGTGTACTCTGGGGACTTGACAACATCCGTGGACGACTGTGCAAGAATATGTTCCACTATTCAAAGTTCTGGGTATCCCACGTATTACTTTTCGCTTGGAACATCCGCCACAGGGGTCTCACAATGCACATGTGGAAATGCTCTCGGGCTTTTGTCTGGAACCACCGATAGAACTCTGTGTACCACTCCATGCAATCTAGCTTCGTCTAGCCGCCAGTATTGTGGCTCATCGAGCGGTTTGTTGGTGTCGATGTTCACTGCTATCTAGGCTTTATTTTGCGTCGTTTTGTATTCCATCGTTACTGTCTTTGGGTACATCTAAGTCTATATGCTGTTTGAATTTTATTATCCATGCGAATTCTAGCGTGGGTATCTAAAAAAAGACTTGATATACTGGAAGATTCTTTTTCTCGAGTTACCTCCATATTTTCACTGAAAACCCAGAGAAGAAGAATTCCAATGGCTGGCTCTATTGAGCGCAGTGCAACTCTCAGAACTGACGTAGTCACCAAGGTCTGAAGAGTGAACCATTATTTCTTATGACTATTACTATTTATAAACCCGACACGGAAATCTCCATCTTGCCTCGATTTTACAGTTTAGATGGTTGATATGTGAGGTTTGGTTTTATCTCTCATGCGCCCTCAAAGGATACCAATGATGACTTCTTGTCCTGGAAATACCGTGTGATTGCAAGTATTGTTATACAATCAATTCGCTCGACATGAGCTACGTCTGTACCTCAAAACCGCCCATGAGGCGCTGTTTCCATTAGGTTGGCTAAACCCATACCCAGTACTATGACATTGTAGTTCTGCATAGTTGCGTGGAATCTAATAATGTTTTCTTTGAAATGGTTTATCAGCTACTTACCTTGGGGATTTAGTTGTTGAGCGCTGAGCTGGGTCGAACTCGCTCACAGCTCGGGCTCTCATGCATCTCTAAGGATCTAGTGGCTCAATTTTGGTATATAATTTATCAACCAAATAAAATCCAGGGGAGTTGAAGTTGGTGATCATTGACGTAACAAAGCCAGTGGCTCAGACGATGACGTCCGTTTCATGGAAAACGCCATCTGCGTCAATATGAGAGATCATATGCGGAGGTACTGTGGGGTTTTGAGTCCAAGGGGAGTTCTTCAATTAGCTATGGGTGAGTTGGCTAGAGAGTTGGCCTAAATGGAGAAAAGTTAATGTTCAACAATAGAAAGCTAGCATCTTAGATTCCGATCTCGTGACACTAATTCAGTGGGGATGCAAGTGCCGAAACAGGAATATAACTCCGGCGAGAGCCTTCATTTCGTCGTGAATCTTCTGATGCATTTGATATTAGAAGGTCGTAGCTGCGGTTGGGTTCGGTGAGGAGCAGCTACTTGTCCGATCACCAGATTGACATATATTAACATAGGTGAGCAAATTCCCACAGCTTGAAACCCCTTGGCGGTGCATCCTTCTCGGACTTTTGAAAGTAAGAAGGGGAGGACAATCTTTACCGAGGCAGGCAGTTGCATGATGTTGGCTAATGAGGGGAACTCCTCAACTCCGCACATTCCTTCAGCCGCCTTGCCCTCAACACGGCCCCCTCTTCTGCCACAGGTTTTTGCGAATCATCTCATTCATTTCGTGGTAGAAGATCGATATTTACTGCCAAATAAGTACCTCCAAAGTTATTACGAGCCCTAGGCTGCCAGTATTGTGATCATTATGTCAGCGCCTAGCACCATCCTCAAAACCGCAGCCGCCGCTTTCCTGGCTGCCTATTTCTTTCCCGTGGTCCACCACTGGCTTACGGTCTTTGGCTATCTGCGGAGCGCCAATATCTCTCATGTGGAAGAGGGGATCATTAAAATCGAAGACACCGTCCATTGTGAAGACATTCACCGATACTCGGACTGGCTATTCACTGCGTGTGAAGATTCCTTTCCTACAAGATTCTCCTGGTTCCCGCCCCTGGTCATCTTCAAGGACCCCGTACTTGGTTCGCAGGCGCGAGGGTCTATTCACGTCATCGACACTAAGGTAATGAAGCTGATATCAGATCACACACAATAGTATGATCAGATGACTAACACGCCATGATGGGAGAATAGGACTTCAAGTCGAAGAGACTCGTTCTTGAGAACTTTGAGAGCTCATTTACCACTCACGGGATTGATATCATTGCAGACCCTGAGAAGAACGGAGCCGCCGTCTACATCTTCGCGGTCAACCATGTTCCTCATCCAGAGTATGTCCTGTCCGTGAAAAACCGAACTCCGCTCCCGGAGGGGACGCCAAAGGCACGGTCGCAGATCGAGGTTTTCCACCATGCTCTCGGCTCATCTGCAGCTAAATGGGTGCGTTCCATACGACACCCTCTCATAAAGACGCCCAACGACATCTTTGCTCATACCCCGACATCTATCTATGTCACCAATGACCACCACTACACTGAAGGCCCTCTGCGACACCTGGAAGTTCTGATCCCCGCTGCCAGATGGTCCAACACTGTCCGTGTACAGATCGATGACTGGTCTAGCAGCGATCCTCAGGCCGGTATCGATGTCAGCATTGCATTGACAGGGCTTCATAACAACAATGGCCTGGGCCATGGCCCATCCCATGAGGACGTGGTGATCGGGTCTGCGGCGAGCGGCACTCTTTCATTGGCTGACATTACCGACACTCAGCAGCTGGAGGTCAAGGAACAGATCCATCTGGACAGTATCATCGACAACCCGAGCTACTTCAAGGATGAGTACGCGACCGAGGAGAACGACGCGAGCGGGTATGTGCTGGGTGGTTTGTCCAAGGCGGGAGAGTTGGCGAAGAACGTGCAGAGCGAGACAGCAAAGGATCCTGTCATCGTCTGGCTGGTACAACCTGTCAAGGAGGAGGGGAAGGCGGCTACAAAATGGAACAAGAAGATTATTTTTGAGGACGACGGGTCGAGAATTCGGTCGTCCAGCGCCGCCTTGCTGCTGGGCATTGATCCGGCGCTGGAGGGAGGGAAGAAGAGGGCGTGGCTGGTCGTGACTGGATTTCTCTCGTCGAGCGCAATTGCCCTCAAGGTGGATCTCTAAAGTCCGCCTCTCGGGCCATCATGGACCTTTTTTGGCAAAGGGCGGACATGAGGCATCCGTTGTAGACGAGGTGGTTTCCGCAGTCAGACTTGCGAGCGATCCAGGCGAGCCATTCAGACGCGCCGTCTTGGGTTGAGGCGAAGCGATGTGTATTTGGCATGGAAGAGGCCCGATTATAGCGCCGAAGTAGCGGACATTGGGAACGTTCTGGGATGAGGCTAGAGGCGAGCAGCTGGAATAGGGCCGGGAGATGACCGGGATGGTGTTTTGCTCAAGACTGGACTCATCAGCATCAGTAATTGAATTCTACTCTACAACCTGAAGGCACACAGCCAATGCCAAGCGAGGATCCCTTGTCTGCACCTTGCAGGGAGGGATTGACCCCATTTGCAGGTCGGACCGATCAGCATTAGCCGCTCTTCTCCACATGTAACTCTGCTTGATGTCGAGCTGCCTCCACGGGCCGTTTCGTGGGGATATTGCCCACTGTGGCGTCATTTCCTGGAGCAGAGGTTCCCTGCTTGCTTCTTGTTATTGCAGACTGCTTCATTTCTGGGGTACTCGTATGTACTGTAGCTCGGGGAGTTAGGCAGGTGTGTCGTCACTGCTGAGCTCCAATTTGCTGCTCAATCACGGCCTCTTCCGTGTGATACCTCGTGGAGAGTCTGCCCGTTCCTGGATTGGGTGTCAACCGGCACGGGTCTTGTCTTGGATCAGTGTATCACACATGGCACACGATGCTGCCGGCCAAGGGTAAGGCGGAGTTGCACTCCGCCGTGCTCTGGTTGGCATCACTCTCCAAAACGCACAGATCACCAATTTCTTCTGCTCCGGCAATCCGGTGTCACATGCTCAGGAACCTGCTCACTTCTCCATGACCCCTTTCCCCGCTCCTTCGACCCCGCGTGCCGTCCATCTACTGCCAACCACAGCACCTGTGAAGCACGTTCCCCCTTGACAAGCTTTCCTCCCTGGTCGGCTACATCGACTTTTTCAATCCTCCCCATCTGACTGATTGGCCCATTTACCAAGATGAACAGACCCCCCGGTCTAGTCACTTGAAGAAGGCATGCCAATGCCGAAAGTCAGACCGAGCATCAGACCCGCCGTGACCCTCGACGATCGTGAAGTCCCTTCCATCCACGTGCTGAGTTTGGATCCCTGAGCCCATTCTCTGCCGCTCTGGGAGATGAGGGAATTGAGCTCCGATTTCTCCATCCAGAAGCAGAATTAACCGGCCGGCCCTTTTCTCAGGAGTTGGAGTAGACCACGCTTGGCGTGCAGCGAAGGAAGCAGGAAAGAGAAAAAAAATTGGTGAATCATCATGTGAAGGACAATGCTCAGAGCCCCATCGTCAGTAGTTACAAGTTGCACCACCAGATGGGAAGCTCTATAAAGAGGGCTGGGGATCGCCCTCTGAGCTCCTCATCCCATCATCTCCCAACCTTGACAAGAACACACAAATTGGTTATCGCGATTATCTTGTGCGCAATCATGGTCAAGATACTCCCCACTGTGCTTCTCAGCACTCTTGCGGCCTGGGCTGGCCTCGTCTACTCTGAGCCCATCCCGCCATATCTGTACACTCGCGCAACCCTTGAAGAATTCATCGCTGCAGAGAGCCAGATTTCCATCACAGGTGTCCTCGCCAACATCGGCCCAGACGGATCCAAAGCAGGGGGCGTTTCTGCCGGTCTTGTGATCGCCAGTCCCTCGCGTTCCAGCCCTGACTGTAAGAAAGCCCATCCTATGTCCTAGCTACACCGCTAACAACTCGTCTCCTACCAGACTGGTACACATGGACTCGTGACTCTGCTCTGACCTTCAAGGCCCTCGTTGAGCGTTTCATCGAAGGCGATTCGTCTCTGCAAACCACAATTGACAACTATGTCAGTTCGCAAGCCAAGCTTCAAACCGTCAGCAACCCCTCAGGCTCCCCAGACTCGGGGGGTTTGGGCGAACCAAAGTTCAACGTCGATGGCACTGCCTTTACAGGAGCTTGGGGCAGACCTCAGAGAGACGGTCCCCCGCTGAGAGCGACTGCGCTGACCCTCTACGCTAACTGGCTGATTGCCAACGGCCAGCAGAGCAAGGCTCTCAGCAACGTCTGGCCCGTCATCCAGAAAGACCTGGCATACACCGTCAAATACTGGAACCAGACCGGCTACGACCTCTGGGAGGAAGTCAACGGAAGCTCGTTTTTCACA